CAAGAGGCGTGGAGTTAAAAGATGAAGAATCCACACACAGGGTGGAGAGTGTCACAGTCTGACTTCTTTGCTGAAGACACGTGCTCTTGGGAGATTCTGAAAGAGAAGTGCAGAGATGGTGGCATGAATTTGGTAGAAAAGGTGTGCAAAAGAAGAATAATTAAAGGGGAAATACAGGAAAGAGTAAGGTTATGAGGTTAACAAAAAGATTAGGCTGAGGAAAGATGGGAATATCAGATTGAGAGGAAGAGTTGGGTGGGAGGTGTACGTATTCTGGATATTTGGGAGTGGACGTGTCAGGGATGGGTAGATGAATGATGAGGTGATCATAGAATTGATGTAGGGAAAAAGAGTGGAGTGGTGCGCGTAGGAGTCTGTGGAGACAGAGAACTTTGTCCGTGGGAGGCAAAGAGGGGAATGTATGAGAGTTTTGTGTTACCAACGGCTCTTATATGGGTGTGAAGCAGGGTGATGAATGTTGCAAGCGAAGGAGGAAGGCTGGTGGCAGTGAGATGTCATGTCTGAGGGCAATGTGTGGATGTGGATATAATGCAGAGAATTCGTTGTTTGGAAGTGAGGAGGAGGTGCGGGGAGTACCAAAACTGTTGTCCAGAGGCTGAGGTGGGTTGTTGAGGTGGTTCGGAATTGTAGGAGAGAAAGGAGCGAAACAGAATAAATGCATGAGTGTTTCTGTCTGTAGTGGATGGATAAAGGCGGGGTAGGGGTGGCCTAGGAAAGGGTTGGAGGCGAGGGGGGTATAAAAGGAGGTATTTGTGGTGCGAGGGGCTGGGTCTTCCAGCAGGCATGCGGGAGCGGTGTTTTGATTGGATGTGAATGGAGGACAATACTGTTTGTTAATCTTGAGTTTGCTGTATGGAGTGTGTGCAAAGTAACTTTATGAAGGGATTCAGGGAAACCGGCAGGCCGGACTTGAGTCCTGGAGATGGGGAAGTACAGTGCTGCACTATGAAGGAGGGGTGTTGGTGTTAAGTTGCAGTTTAAAAAGTGTTGTGTAAAGCAACCCTTCTAGCAAGACAGTGATGGAGTGAGCTGGTGAAAGTGTTTCTTTTTCGGGCCACCCTGCCTTGGTTGGGAATCGGCCTGTGTGATAATAAAAAAAAATAATAACTAAATTATATACTTTAAATATAGGGGTGGGATTAAATTATGGGGAATCACAATTCAAAATGGTATGACGTTTACTTTTTTGCAGTATGATACTGTGCTTATGGGAGATTCTACATGAAAAATTGCAAAGGTTGTGGTGAGTTTGAGAATGTGTCTGTAGAGGTAGAATGTTGGAAGTGACATAGAAAAGAGTAAGGTGATGAGGGTATCAAATGATTTCGATAAAGAAAAATGGGATATCCAATTGGGGAGGAGGAGTATGGAAGAAGTGATGGTGCGCGCGCAGATATGGGAGTTGACATGTCCGGATGGCTTATGGATTATGAGGATGAGGTTAATCATAGAATTGATGAGGGAAAACAGCAGTGAGTGGTGCGTTGAGGTATATGTGAGTCAATAAAACGTTTATCTATGGAGGCAAAGAAGGGAATGTATGAAAGTATAGTTGTACCAACACCTTCTTATATGATGTGAAGCTTGGGTGGTAATGCAACAGCGAGGAGAGAGACGGTTAGGAGGCAGTGGAGATGTCATGTTTGAAGGGCAAAAGTGTGGTGTAAATATATGCAGAAAAATTCGGAGTGTGGAAAATTAGGAGAAGGTGTGGAGTATAAAGCATTAGTTCAGAGGGCAGAAGGGGGTTGTTGAGGTGGTTTTGTTCATTTAGAGAGAATGGATCAAAGTAGAATGACATGGTAAAGCATATAAATCTATAGGGAAGGAAATGAGGGGGTAGGGGTCGTCCTCGAAAGGGTTGGGAAAGCCGGGGTAAAGGAGGTTTGTGGGCGAGGGCTCTGGTCTTCAGCCAGCGTGCATGAGGAGTGTTCTGACAGGAGTGACTGGGTGTGAATGTACTTGGACCTGACGATATGTTGGAGTGTGAGCAGGGTATAGTAATATTTAGTGAAGGGAGTCAGGGAAACGGTTATTTTCATCTTAGTCGGACTTGAGTCCTGGAAATGGGAAGTGCAATGCCTGCACTTTAAAGGAGGGGGTCTACGGGATATTGGCAGTGTTGGAGGGGATATGTTGTGTATCTTTATACGTATATGCTTCTAAACTGTTGTATTCTGAGACCTCTGCCAAAAGCTCGTGAATAAATGTGTGAGTGTGGTGAAAGTGTTTGTATGATGATGAAAGTATTTTCTTTTTGGGGATTTTCTTTCTTTTTTTTAGGTACTGCAACGGGGTGTGGAGACGGCGACTTTGTTGAAAAAAAAAAAAAATATATTATATATATATATAACACACACACCACACACACTCAAAAAAGAGAATGAAAAAACTTTATTAAAACTGGGATGCTTGAATGAGCGGGGATGTAGTGCGGATGACAAGAAACAGATGAGATTGCTGATGTTATGAATGAAAAGAAGTTGGGTCCTGGTCCTAAAGGAAACAAAGCTGAAAGGGGTAGGGAGTTTTGGTGGGCGAGTAGCCTATAAACGTGAAGGGATGTAAAGCAGGAGTAGTAAATACGAGTGTCTTGGCAAGGGCGTGGAGTTATGGCGATAAAGAATCACCATAAAGTGGGGAGTGTCACAGTTGATCTTTGCTGATGACACTGTGCTCTTGGGAGATTCTGAGAGAAGTTGCAGAGATTGGTGGATGAATTTGGGTAGGGTTTGCAAAAGAAGAAATTAAAAGTGAAGACAGGAAAAGAGTAAGGTTATGGAGGGATAGTCAAAAAGATTAGGGTGATGAAAGATAGATATCAGATTGGGGGGAGAGGAGTATGGAAGGAGGTGAATGTATTCAGATAGTTGGAGTGGACGTCGAGTCAGTGGATGGAGGGTCTATGAAAGATGAGGTGGTTCATTGAATTGATGAGGGGAAAAATGGGGGGAGTGGTGTACTTAGGAGTCTGTTGGATGTACAAAGAACTTTTGTATTGGAGGCAAAAGAACGGGGAATGTATGAGAGTTTAGTTTTACAACGCTCTTTATGTGGTGTGAAGCATGGTGATGAATGTTTGCAGCGAGGAGAAGGATGCGAGGGTGGGAGATGTCATGTCTGGAGGGCAATGTGTGTGTGAATATAATACCAGAGTATTCGTAGTTTGGAAGCTTAGGAGCGAGGTGCGTGTTTCCAAAAAACTGTTGTTCCAGAGGGCCTGAGGAAGGGTTGTCGAGGTGGTTCGGACATGTAGAGAGAATGGAGAGAAAACAGTGGACTTCAAGGAGTGTATCAGTCTGTAGTGGAAGGATAGGTGGGGTAGGGGTCGGCCTAGGAAAAGGTTGGAGGGAGGGGTAAAGGAGGTTTGGTTGTGCGATGGGGCTTGGACTTCTCAGCAGGCATGCTCGTGAGCGTGTTTGATAGGAGTGAAGGGAGACAAATGGTTTTTAATACTTGACGTGCTGTTGGAGTGTGAGCAAAGTAACATTTATGAAGGGGTTCAGGGAAACCGGCAGGCCGGACTTGAGTCCTGGAGATGGGAAGTGCAGTGCCTGCACTCTGAAGGAGGAGTGTTAATGTTGCAGTTTAAAAACTGTAGTGTAAAGCACCCTTCTGGCAAGACAGTGATGGAGTGAATGATGGTGAAAGTTTTTCTTTTTCGGGCCACCCTGCCTTGGTGGGAATCGGCCAGTGTGATAATAAAATAAATAAAATATATGAAAATAAGAAAAATTTTTGGAGCGAGTTAAACAAGTTAAGAAAGCCTAGGGAACGAATGGATATATCAGTTAAAAATAGAGTAGGGAAGTTAGTAGATGGGGAGATGGAGGTATTGGGTAGATGGTGAGAATATTTTGAGGAACTTTTAAATGTCAACGAAGAAAAGGAGGTGGTAATTTCATGCACTGGCCAGGGAGGTATACCATCTTGTAGGAGTGAAGAAGAGCAGGATGTGAGTGTGAGGGAGGTGCGTGAGGCATTACGTAGAATGAAAGGGAGTAAAGCAGCTGGAACTGATGGGATCATGACAGAAATGTTAAAAGCAGGGGGGGATATAATGTTGGAGTGGTTGGTATTTTTGTTTAATAAATGTATGAAAAAGGGGAAGGTACCTTGGCATTGGCAGAGCATGTATAGTCCCTTTATATAAAGGGAAGGGGCACAAAAGAGATTGTAAAAATTATAGAGGAATAAGTTTATCCTAGACAGTAGGTTGGTAGACAGCAACCACCTAGGGAGGTACTACCATCCTGCCAATTGAGTGTAAACAAAAGCCCATAATTGTTTTACATGATGGTAGGATTGCTGGTGTCTTTTGTCTGTCTCATAAATATGCAAGATTACAGGTACATCTTGCTACATTTACTTACCCTGAAGTCACACTACACATACATGTACAAGCATACATATACACACTCCTGTGGGTTTTCTGCTATTTTCTTACTAGTTCTTGTTCTTGTTTATTTCCTCTTATCTCCATGGGAAAGTGGAACAGAATTCTTCCTCCGTAAGCCATGCGTGTTGTAAGAGGCGACTAAAATGCTGGGGGCAAGGGGCTAGTTAGCCCTTCTCTTCTATAAATTACTAAATTTAAAACGAGAAACTTTCTTTTTCTTTTTGGGCCACCCTGCCTTGGTGGGATACGGCTGGTTTGTTGAAAGAAAGAAGAAGATATGTATATATATATTATATATACACTCACACACTGTATGCCTTTGCACATTCATTGGCTTCCTCATTTATATACCAGGTGTAATTTTGAGAACAACTTGCTATTAAATGCATATCAAAATTTGGTTTGAAATATCGAAGAGATGCTCAAGATTTTTTATCTGTAATTGGTAGACAGGCATTTAGTAATTTAATTTTTTTTGAGATCCAAAACAGTCATTCTAATCTTATTTTAGCTAGTATATAGTCAAAAAAACTTTAAATTCATGATATAGGATTTCACATACTCAATTCATTCTTTTCAGGTGTCATTATAAAAGGCAGTCAGATATGATATTGCGCTGTCTTCCATACTTTTTTTTAATTGGTCAGCCTAAGTGTGCTACAACAGATGTCTTCCGGCGAATTAACCTGCATCCAGATGTTGTGGAACCCATAGTGAAGGGACCACACTGGTGGACAAGGAAAAGATATGGTAATGTTTATAAATCTTGTACTTTGTTTGATTCATGTATATTTTGTCATGATTTAAACACTTTTATTGTGTATTTGTACTGTATATTGTACATATTGCTAACCAAATAAAAAAGTCACAATTGCATAACGAGAACAAGCCATAGCGTAAAATAAATTGGAGATGGAATTAGCTAATGTTTTCCTTTATCCTACATTAGTATTAAATTGCTAGCAATTAGATAATGGTCTAGGACAGACTGAAACATACTTTCATCTGCTATATGTGGCTTATTCGAATTGGCATAAATTACTGATTGTTTTTCATCCCCATAGGGCCACCTTATGCTTCCCGACCAGTTACATTCTCAGAATATCTGGATGTCTTTAATGCTCCTAAAATAGAAGAGAACACAAGGTGTGATAAAACTCTGCACAGGTGGTCGAATGAAAAGATTACCGGGGATGGGAGCACTTCCACCCTCTGGGATAGCAGCCCTACTATGAGTTACCTATACAAAATAATGTCTAGCGATACACAGTCCATTAGTGGGAAATTATTCTCAAGATGGCATATATCACATTCAGTATTTGAAAAAACTTCTGGCTATGTGGGGATGAACACAAGACATGATCCCAAATCAAAAAATGTTATACAAAATCTGCAGGAAGTTAAGTATCTTCAATATTATCAATATAAAGATGAAGTAGTGCTCCCTTTCACAGTGGCTAATGTCATACACTCAGTTCTTCCAAACTCTCGAATCATTGCAGTGATTCGGGAACCAGTTTCAAGGTAAGACTTGTTTATTGTTCAGTGTCCATGTCTTAAATTTTATGCTTCATTTAAATCATTATTACTTCTTTCAACGAGCCAGCTGTATCCCACCGAGGCAGGGTGGCCCGGAAAGAAAAACTGAAGATTCTTTTTTTTTTTTAACTTTAGTATTATATACAGGAGAAGGGGTTACTAGCCCATTGCTCAAAGCATGTTAGTTGCCTCTTGTTACACGCATGGCTTACAGAAGAAGGATTCTGTTCAACTTCCCCATGGAGATAATAGGAAATAAACAAGAACTAGTAAGAAAATAGAAGAAAACCCAAAGGGGTGTGTATCTGTATGCTTGTACGTGCATGTGTAGTGTGACCTAAGTGTAAGTAGAAGTAGCAAGATGTACCTGAAATCTTTCATGTTTGAGACCAAAAAAAAAAAAAAAAGCAATCCTACCATCATGTAAAACAATGACAGGCTTCCGTTGTACACTCACCTGGCAGGACGGTAGTACCTCCCCGGGCTGATGCTGTCTACCATCCTGTAGAGAGTTCCGGGGGTCAACGCCCCCGCGGCCCGGTCTGTGACCAGGCCTCCTGGTGGATCAGAGCCTGATCAACCAGGCTGCTACTGCTGGCTGCACGCAAACCAACGTATGAGCCACAGCCCGGCTGGTCAGGAACCGACTTTAGGTGCTTGTCCAGTGCCAGCTTGAAGACTGCCAGGGGTCTGTTGGTAATCCCCCTTATGTATGCTGGGAGGCAGTTGAACAGTCTCGGGCCCCTGACACTTATTGTATGGTCTCTTAACGTGCTAGTGACACCCCTGCTTTTCATTGGGGGATGTTGCATCGTCTGCCAAGTCATTTGCTTTCGTAGTGAGTGATTTTCGTGTGCAAGTTCGGTACTAGTCCCTCTAGGATTTTCCAGGTGTATATAATCATGTATCTCTCCCGCCTGCGTTCCAGGGAATACAGGTTTAGGAACCTCAAGCGCTCCCAGTAATTGAGGTGTTTTATCTCCGTTATGCGCGCCGTGAAGGTTCTTTGTACATTTTCTAGGTCAGCAATTTCACCTGCCTTGAAAGGTGCTGTTATTGTGCAGCAATATTCCAGCCTAGATAGAACAAGTGACCTGAAGAGTGTCATCATGGGCTTGGCCTCCCTAGTTTTGAAGGTTCTCATTATCCATCCTGTCATTTTTCTAGCAGATGCGATTGATACAATGTTATGGTCCTTGAAGGTGAGATCCTCCGACATGATCACTCCCAGGTCTTTGACATTGGTGTTTCGCTCTATTTTGTGGCCAGAATTTGTTTTGTACTCTGATGAAGATTTAATTTCCTCGTGTTTACCATATCTGAGTACAGTGGACCCCCGGTTAACGATTTTAATCCGTGCAAGAGGGGTAATTGTTATGCGAAATAATCGGTATGCGAATGAATTTTCCCCATAAGAAATAATGGAAATCAAATTAATCCGTGCAAGACACCCAAAAGTATGAAAAAAAAATTTTTACCACATGAAATATACATTTTCAAACACACAAAGAGAAGGATACATGCACAATAGTAGAGTAGTACATGCACAGTATATATTGTGCATGTACTAGTCTACTAAATGAAGAATAAATGACACTTACCTTTATTGAAGATGCAGCAATGACTGATGAGACACTGTGTCCTGGGAGTGCCTTTTCCTCCTGAGTAATGTAGGTCCTGTTTGGCATTTTCTTCCAGAACAGGCCTTATCACACTGTGTATGCCACTACGATTCTTAAATCTCTCAAACCAACCTTTGCTGGCTTTAAATTCACCAATATGAGCACTAGTTCCAGGCATTTTTCCCTGTTCACCTGGGTGTTAGTCGACTTGTGTGGGTTGCATCCTGGGAGACAAGATTAAGGACCCCAATGGAAATAAGTTAGACAGTCTTCGATGACACTGACTTTTTTGGGTTATCCTGGGTGGCAAATCCTCTGGGGTTAATTGTTTCTTGGTATTCTCAATAAGCCACACCAACAACGGTGCTACAGCAGCAGCAGCAGCAGCTGACGGTGGTACAGCAGCAACAGACGATGTTACAGCAGCAGCAGACGATGCTACAGCAGCAGCAGCAGCTGACAGTGCAGCAGCAGCAGCAGCAGCTGACAGTGCAGCAGCAGCAGCAGCTGACAGTGCAGCAGCAGCAGCAGCTGTACCACCAATAGTAGCGATGGTTGATTGGGGTTTATTATACAACCTGGCCAGCTCGGAGACACGCACTCCACTTTCATACTTATCAATGATCTTTTTCTTCATCTCTATTGTAATTCTCACCCTTATTGCTGTAGGGTTGGCACTAGAAGCTTTCTTGGGGCCCATGGTCACTTATTTTCCAGAAAAAGCACCGAAAACACTGTAATAATACGAAATATTCCGATTGTATGCTTGGATGTTACCGCGGAGGCTGGCTGGTAAACAATGCCACCGGCGGAACATGTGAGCGTGGCTCAGGCCGCACATTGGACGCGTCTCGGACGAAAATCGGTGAGCGGGTTTTTAAGCGGTATGTGAGGCAAAATTTTTGCGATTAAAACAAGCGGTATGCGGATTAATCGCTATGTGATGCCATCGTTATGCGGGGGTCCACTGTAATTGAAATTTCTCATCGTTGAACTTCATATTGTTTTCTGCAGCCCACTGAAAGATTTGGTTGATGTCCGCCTGGAGCCTTGCAGTGTCTGCAATGGAAGACACTGTCATGCAGATTCGGGTGTCATCTGCAAAGGAAGACACAGTGCTGTGGCTGACATCCTTATCTATGTCGGATATGAGGGTGAGGAACAAGATGGGAGCGAGTACTGTGCCTTGTGGAACAGAGCTTTTCCCCGTAGCTGCCTCGGACTTTACTCTGTTGACGACTACTCTCTGTGTTCTGTTAGCGAGGAAATTATAGATCCATCGACCGACTTCTCCTGTTATTCCTTTAGCACGCATTTTGTGCGCTATTACGCCATGGTCACACTTGTCAAAGGCTTTTGCAAAGTCTGTATATATTACATCTGCATTCTTTTTGTCTTCTAGTGCATCTAGGACCTTGTCGTAGTGATCCAATAGTCGAGACAGACAGGAGCGACCTGTTCTAAACCCATGTTGCCCTGGGTTGTGTAACTGATGGGTTTCTAGATGGGTGGTGATCTTGCTTCTTAGGACCCTTTCAAAGATTTTATGATATGGGATGTTAGTGCTATCGGTCTGTAGTTCTTTGCTGTTGCTTTACTGCCCCCTTTGTGGAGTGGGGCTATGTCTGTTGTTTTTAGTAACTGTGGGACGACCCCCGTGTCCATGCTCCCTCTCCATAGGATGGAAAAGGCTCGTGATAGGGGCTTCTTGCAGTTCTTGATGAACACGGAGTTCCATGACTCTGGCCCTGGGGCAGAGCGCATGGGCATGTCATTTATCGCCTGTTCAAAGTCATTTGGCGTCAGGATAACATCGGATAGGCTTGTGTTAACCAAATTCTGTGACTCTCTCATAAAAAATTAATTTTGATCTTCGACTCTCAGTCTGGTTAGCGGCTTGCTAAAAACTGAGTCATATTGGGACTTGAGTAGCTCACTCATTTCCTTGCTGTCATCTGTGTAGGACCCATCTTGTTTAAGTAGGGGCCCAATACTGGACGTTGTTCTCGACTTTGATTTGGCATAGGAGAAGAAATACTTTGGGTTTCTTTTGATTTCATTTATGGCTTTTAGTTCTTCCTGCGATTCCTGACTCCTATAAGATTCCTTTAGCTTAAGTTCGATGCTTGCTATTTCTCTGACCAGTGTCTCCCTACGCATTTCAGATATATTGACCTCTTTTAGCCGCTCTGTTATTCTTTTCCATCGCCTGTAAAGGGAGCGCCTGTCTCTTTCTATTTTACATCTACTCCTCCTTTTTCTTAGAGGAATAAGCCTTGTGCATACATCGAGTGCCACCAAGTTAATCTGTTCTAGGCATAAGTTGGGATCTGTGTTGCTTAGTATATCTTCCCAGCTTATATCGGTTAGGACTTGGTTTACTTGGTCCCATTTTATGTTTTTGTTATTGAAGTTGAATTTGGTGAATGCTCCCTCGTGACTAATCTCATTATGTCGGTCTGGGGCTCCACGCATACATGTCTGAACCTCAATTATGTTGTGATCTGAGTATATTGTTTTAAAATACAATATTTGTATTTTTTCTTTTATTGCCTTATCTGTCCTGTAGTGTGTAATACAAGCACTTTCATTTTGTCAAATTAGTTTATATATATGACAATGGCTCATGCAAATTTTCACATTTTGTAATCTTCACTTGTGAATGTCTTTTATCAACATTTGTATAGGCCCTCTGCTATATTTTTTTTAATATTCATCTCGTTATTTTTCCATATTCCATTTTCTAGTTTTTAATCAAAAGTTCTGGTTTAACCCTTTGAGGGTTGGTGCCATACTAGTACGGCTTGCACGCCAGGGTTGGTGCCGTACTAGTACGCATAAATTCTAGCTCCTTCAAATCTAGCGAGAGAAAGTTGGTAAGCCTACATATGAAAGAATGGGTCTATGTGGTCAGCGTGCGCAGTATAAAAAAAATCCTGCAGCACACAGTGCATAATGAGAAAAAAACTCCGACAGTGTTTTTGGTTTAAAACGACGACTTTGCAGTGTATTTTCGTGTGATATTTATGGTTTTATTCTAGTTTTCCTGGTCTCATTTTATAGAATGGAAGACACATTACGGAAATTGAGATGATTTTTAATTGGTTTCACGATCAAAAGTACCTTTAAATTGAGCTCAAAGTAGCAGAAATGTTCGATTTTTCCCAAAGTTCAAAAGTAAACAAAACGTGCCATGCGTCCAATACACGTCAACTGGTAAGTCTAATATTCTTTCACAAGTGCGCTGATATTATTTATATCATTTCTACACCATTTCTACACTAATGCAATAGTCTGCATAACAGTAAATCTTCTATTTTTTGTGAGAATAAAAATTCAAAGTGGAAAAGAAAAGAAATGTAACAGAGGCCTGGGGACGTGACTAATGAACAGAGGAAATGTTATTTTAGTGCCAGGAATGTCTTTCATGTTTATTCTGGACCCTATTAGGAAATTGGCATCTTTTGAAATTTGTGTGAAATTGGCAAAATTGCCAAATTCTGACCACTTTTTTGGATAGTTGAAATCGGTAAATGGGTGGTTTCTTGTACTCATTTGATAGGAAAAAATGTGGTTCTAGCAAAATAGTTATGATATTTGTCGACTGGTACATTGGAATTGGCCGAAAATAGTGCTCAAAGTGGGCGAAATCGCCGATGTGTAAACAACATCAAGACCGCTAACGTCGCGAGAGCATAATTCCGTAAGTTTTCCATCAAATTTCATACTTTTGGTGTCATTATGATTGGGAAAAGATTCTCTATCATTTCATAAGAAAAAATATTTTTTTTTTTTTTTTCCAAAAATTTCCAACCCTAAGAACAAGTTTAGGAGAGGGCCTGCCGACCCTGAAAGGGTTAATATAAAATCACATTCAAGTTCAATTTTAGTTTCATTCCAGTTATAGATTTTCAGGATATTTAGGTTCCTAGAAGTGATGTTTTGGTTTTGAGGATCATCTGAGCAGTGATGTTAGCAACCTTCTTGCAAGTCAGTGACTGAATGAATGACAGGTCACCCTACCTCAGTGGGAGATGGCCTGAGTGTTTAAAGAAAAATTATATTTTTCTATTTCTTTGATTGAAGCTTTCCCTCACTGCCAGAAGAAAGTGCATCAATTAACCTGTGTAAAGATTTGGTACCTTTTAATTCAAGGATGTATTCGTATCTAAAGTTAATATGAGAATGAAGAGTATTTTCATTCAATATTTTGGATCTAGTACTTGGGAATTCTAGATGTAATTGGATTTTAGAAAAGCAGAATATTACTTGAATATTTATTAGTTATTTATGCTGAGATTCTTTAAAACACTTGACTGTCTATTTTTAATGCACCATTAATTTGCTGTCTGATATTCCAGGCTGTATTCAAGTTATCTTTTCTTCACCAAGAAAACAAGCTTATCTCCAGAAACCTTTGACAGGAATGTTAAAGACTCCATACAGAAATGGCAAGACTGTACCAGACAGTATTCTGACAGGACCTGTGCATATAACAAGACTTTGCAAAATAGCTTGGTAAGTATTTGCATGTCATTGAAGATTGATCTTGCACGTTGTGTATCAGCTTATGTGAAGACCTAGATTTTGTCTTGCTATGCTAATATGATTTGTGTGTGTGTTTAAATTTATAGTCAGCTTTTATGAAGTAATATAATATTTTGAAAATGGAAAAAAGGCTTCCAAAATTTTAATAGCATATACTATGAAGATCTTTTCATGTGTTGTTGAATTTTGGATGCATTATACTGTATAGTAAATAATCTGTTTATCTGGTGAGTGATTATTCTGCTTTGAACAATATTTGGCAGGCATATTCAGTCCTCCACCTAATCAGACGATACAAAAATTGTAAAAAAAAATAAAAAGTGATGATCAGGTGGCCTGGTGGCTATAGCTCTCACTTCACACACTGAGGGCCCGGGTTCGATCCCTGGCGGGTGGAAACATTTTGATGTGTTTCCTTACACCTGTTGTCATGTTCACCTAGCAGCAAATAGGTACCTGGGTATTAGTCGACTGGTGTGGGTTGCATCCTCATCCTGGGGGACAAGATTGAGGACCCCAATGGAAATAAGTTAGTCCTCAATGACGCACTGACTTTCTTGGGTTATCCTGGGCGGCTAACCCTCCAGGGTTAAAAATCCAAACAAAATCTTATCGCATTTTTTTACTCTCCCTTTTTTTATTTTTACTTTTTTTGTGTGTGTGCCTCCTTACCTTCCCAGGAGAGGCTGAATAAATGGTAATCTTAAGTGCAATATATAAATTTTCTTTAAAATTCATATAGATAAAGCCTTGCATGGAACAAAAGAATAAGTGCCCCTGTGTCAAAACAGAGTTAGTGAACAAATAAATTCCTTAATGTAGATAAACTGTGCAGAGAACCGACAAGTTGATGAATTACACATGTGCAACACTTGGGTATCTTTATTGAGGAAACATTTCTCCATGCAGTGGCTTCATCAGTTCTAAACACAGGAATGGTGAAGATCAGAAGGAGTTTAAGGTAATCAGACCCTCAGCCTGGAGTCACTGTAATCAGTCTAATTCGTCAATTCCTTAATGTTTTATCTTTTTATAAATTATCATATATCTTCCATGCAGCTGGAGGTAAGAGTTGAAATAAGTATCAAAACTTTAACTGTCTCCATTCTTTAATTATTCTTTTCTGCTGTGCAATGCCTCAAATACCCTAGAGAATAGGATGTAATCAGGTTTGATCTGAGGAAGAGGAAAGTAATTATAATCTTTGAGATCAAGAGACCTTCACCAAGACCAAGCAACTTCCCACGAAGGTAATGTATATTTAGCTTATACATGTATATGACTGAATAATGTTGAAACCATTTTCTTCCTTTAACAGGGGGTACGTTTGCATAATGGTTTATATAGCCTATTTCTTCGTGACTGGTTGAAGGTATTCCACAAAGACCAGATTTTGGTACTGAGAATGGAAGATTATCACCAGAATGTAGCAGAAACTATCATTTCTATCTATCGCCACCTCGGTTTAAGTAAGTAAATTTAAAACTAATGATTTTCAGTATCTACTGTGTACATTTTTCATGGCATGCTTCTCAAATATTAATTACAATAATCATTTTGATCCTTATTCAAGTTATTTTCTTTATGCCAAAGCCTATATGTTTTGTACACTGCTAAAGTCATTTGAATTGTGATATTTGCACATTGAGAATGACCAGTATTTAAAGAAATGTATTGAATATCTGTGTAGGGAATGTCAAGTATTATCAACACAACTCGGATGATTTTATCTTATCTAATCATTGCAGTTAATTTTTGAATTATGCTCCTCTATATAAATTATGCCGGGAGCAATGGGCTAGTAACCCCTTCTCCTGTAGACATTTACTAAAAAAGAGAAGAAGAAAAACTTTACAAAACTGGGATGCTTGAATGTGAGTGGATATAGTGCGAATGACAATAAACAGACGATTGCTGATGTTATGAATAAAAAGAAGTTGGATGTCCTGGCCCTAAGCGAAACAAAGCTGAAGGGGGTAGGGGAGTTTCGGTGGGAGGAAATAAATGGGATTAAATCTGGAGTATCTGAGAGAGTTAGAGCTAAGGAAGGGGTAGCAGTAATGTTGAAGGATCAGTTATGGAAGGAGAAAAGAGAATATGAATGTGTAAATTCAAGAATTATGTGGATTAAAGTAAAGGTTGGATGCGAAAAGTGGGTCATAATAAGCGTGTATGCACCTGGAGAAGAGAGGAATGTAGGAGAGAGAGAGATTTTGGGAGATGTTAAGTGAATGTATAGGAGCCTTTGAACCAAGTGAGAGAGTAATTGTGGTAGGGGACCTGAATGCTAAAGTAGGAGAAACTTTTAGAGAGGGTGTGGTAGGTAAGTTTGGGGTGCCAGGTGTAAATGATAATGGAGCCCTTTGATTGAACTTTGTATAGAAAGGGGTTTAGTTATAGGTAATACATATTTTAAGAAAAAGAGGATAATAAGTATACAAGATATGATGTAGGGCGAAATGACAGTAGTCTGTTGGATTATGTATTGGTAGATAAAAGACTGTTGAGTAGACTTCAGGATGTACATGTTTATAGAGGGCCACAGATATATCAGATCACTTTTTAGTTGTAGCTACACTGAGAGTAAAAGGTAGATGGGATACAAGGAGAATAGAAGCATCAGGGAAGAGAGAGGTGAAGGCTTATAAACTAAAAGAGGAGGCAGTTAGGGTAAGATATAAACAGCTATTGGAGGATAGATGGGCAAATGAGAGCATAGGCAATGGGTCGAAGAGGTATGGGTAGGTTTAAAAATGTAGTGTTAGTGTTCAGCAGAAGTTTATGGTTACAGAAAGTGGGTGCAGGGGGGAAGAGGAGTGATTGGTGGAATGATGTAAAGAGAGTAGTAAGGGAGAAAAAGTTAGCATATGAGAAGTTTTTACAAATTAGAAGTGATGCAAGGAGGGAAGAGTATATGGAGAAAGAAAAGAGGTTAAGAGAGTGGTGAAGCAATGTAAAAAGAGAGAAAAATGAGAGAGTGGGTGAGACTTTTAATCAACAAATTTTTGTTGAAAATAAGAAAAAGTTTTGGAGTGTAGATTAACAAGTTAAGGAAGCCTAGAGAACAAATGGATTTGTCAGTTAAAAATAGGAGAAGAGAGTTAATTAAATGGAGAGTTAGAGGTTTTGGGAAGATGGAGGGAATATTTTGAGGAATTGTTAAATGTTGATGAAGATAGGGAAGTTGTGATTTCGTGTATAGGGCAAGGAGGAAAAAACATCTTGTAGGAGTGAGGAAGAGCCAGTTATGAGTGTGGGGGAAGTTCGTAGAGGCAGTAAGTAAAATGAAAGGGGTAAGGCAGCCAGAATGAGGGGAAATAAAGATAGAAATGTTAAAAGCAGGCGGGGATATATTTTTGGGAGTGGTTGGTGCAATTATTTAATAAATGTAGGGAAGAGGGTAAGGTACCTAGGGATTGGCAGAGAGCATGCATATTCCTTTGTGTAAAGGCAAAGGGGACAAAAGATGAAAAAAATTATAGGGGGATAAGTCTGTTGAGTAACCTGGTAAAGTGTATGGTAGAGTTATTATTGAAAGAATTAAGAGTAAGACGAAGAATAGGATAGCAGATAACAAGGAGGCTTTAGAAAGGTAGGGGGTGTGTGGACCAGGTGTTTACAGTGAAACATAAAAGTGAACAGTATTTAGATAAGGCTAAAGAGGTTTTTGGGGCTTTTTATGGATTTGGAAAAGGCATATGACAGGGGGGATAAGGGGGCAATGTGGCAGATGTTGCAAGTGTAATGGTGGTAGGGGGTAGGTTACTGAAAGCAGTGAAGAGTTTTTAACGGGGATAGGAGGCTCAAGTTAGAGTATGTGGGAAAAAGAGGGAGATTATTCCCAGTAAAAGTAGGCCTTAGACAAGGATGTGTGATGTCACCATGGTTGTTTAATATATTTATAGATGGGGTTGTAAGAGAAGTAAATGCGAGGGTCTTGGCAAGAGGCGTGGAGTTAAAAGATAAAGAACCCACACATAAAGTGGAGTTGTCACAGTTGCCTCTTTGCTGATGACACTGCTCTTGGGAGATTCTGAAAAGAAGTTACAGAGATTGGTGTTTAAATTTTGTAGGGGTGCAAAGAAGAAAATTTAAAAGTGAATACATACAGGAAAGAGTAAGGTTATGAAGATAAAAAGATTAGGTGATGAAAGTTTGGATATCAGATTGGGGGGAGAGAGTATGGAGGAGGTGAATGTATTCAGATAATTGGGAGTGGACGTGTTAGCGGATGGGTCTATGAAAGATGAGGTGAATCATAGAATTGATGGGGGGAAAAAGGGTGAGTGGTGCACTTGGAGTCTGTGGAGACAAAGAACTTTGTCCTTGGAGGCAAAGAGGGAATGTATGAGAGTATAGTTTTACCAACGCTCTTATATGGGTGTGAAGCATGGGTGATGAATGTTGTAGCGAGGAGAAGGCTGGAGGCAGTGGAGATGTCATGTCTGAGGGCAATGTGTGGTGTGAATATAATGCAGAGAATTCGTATTTGGAATTTAGGAGGAGGTGCGGGATTACCAAAACTGTTGTCCAGGGGGCTGAGGAAGGGTTGTTGAGGTGGTTCGGACATGTAGAGAGAATGGAGCGAAACAGAATGACTTCAAGAGTGTATCAGTCTGTAGTGGAAGGAAGGCGGGGTAGGGGTCGGCCTGGGAAAAGGTTTTGGAGGGAGGGGGTAAAGGAGGTTTTGTGTGTGGGGGGCTTGGACTTCCAGCAGGCATGCGTGAGCGTGTTTGATAGGAGTGAATGGAGACAAATGGTTTTTAATACTTGACGTGCTGTTGGAGTGTGAGCAAAGTAACATTTATGAAGGGATTCAGGGAAACCGGCAGGCCGGACTTGAGCCCTGGAGATGGGAAGTGCAGTGCCTGCACTCTGAAGGAGGAGTGTTAATGTTGCAGTTTAAAAACTGTAGTGTAAAGCACCCTTCTGGCAAGACAGTGATGGAGTGAATGATGGTGAAAATTTGTCTTTTTCGGGCCACCCTGCCTTGTGGGAATCAGCCAGTGTGTTAATAAAAAAAAAAATAATACATAAATTATTACATTCATGAGGGTTGTGCTAAACCAGTAGGCTCACATAGCATCTGAAGAATAGGAGGCAATCAAGTTTAATCTAGAGACAGGGATCAAGAGCCTGTCAGCAGCATCAAAGTGCACTCCTTGAAAGGTGCAGTATATGAAGCAGCTCTTCAATGCCTCAGAGCAATTTAAGAAAATAATAGTCTAGCAAAATAAAGAGCACCCGTACATTAACATGCTACAGTGGTTCCCCGAGTTTCGAACTTTCTTCGTTCCAGAAGGCTGTTCGAGTGCTGCTACTGAATGAATTTGTTCGCATAAGGAATGTAAATTAGATTAGTCAGTTTCAGATCCCCAAAAATACCCTTGCAAATGCACTTACAATAATAAACTTGCATAATTGGTTGAGTTGGGAGCAGTTCAAAACTTGGGGTACCACTGTACAAATAAAAGTGCATTTAAGATATCATGTCTGATATCTAATGTCTTAACCATAATTAAAAATTTGGGTCACTAGTGTTTTGGAAACTTTAAACGTCCTACACTGTCTTAAAAAAGTTTTCCTACAGGGGCATTAACTGAGGAAGAAGAGAAGGTGGTGAACATGGCTCCAGTTCTCAACAAGAATTGGAAGAAGCCCACAATTGGAAAGATGCTGGAATCAACTGAAAAAATTCTCAAAGAATTTTACAAACCATACAACAGAGATTTGGCTGATCTTTTAAAAGATTCAAGATATGAATGGGAAGATATTTATTTAAAGGTACGTATGCATATGGTAGGCTTATTATTGAAAGAATTAGAGGCAAAACAGAATGTAGGATTATGGATGACTAAGGAGGTTTTAGAGTGGGTAGGGGATGTGTAGATCAAATGTTTATATTGAAGCATATATGTGAACAATATTTAGATAAAGGTAGGGAAGTTTTCATTGCATTTATGGATTTAGAAAAAGCATATGATAGTGGATAGGGGAGCAATGTGGCAGATGTTGCAAGTATATGGAATAGGTGGTAAGTTACTAAATGCTGTAAAGAGTTTCTATGAGGATAGTAAGGCTCAGGTTAGGGTGTGTAGAAGAGAGGGAGACTACCTCCCGGTAAAAGTAGGTCTTAGGCAGGGATGTGTAATGTCACCATGGTTGTTTAACCCTCTCAGGGTCGAGAGGCCCTCTCCTAAACTTGTTCTTGGGGTCGAAAATTTTTCGGAAAAAAAAATTATTTTTTCTTATGAAATGATAGAGAATCTTTTCCCGATCATAATGACACCAAAAGTATGAAATTTGATGGAAAACTTACGGAATTATGCTCTCGTGAAGTTAGTCTTGCCGATGTTTACGCATCGGCTATTCTGCCCACTTTGAGCCCTATTTTTGGCCAATTCCTGTGCACTAGTCGACAAACATCATATTTATTTCGCTAGAACTCCATTGTTTCTATCAAATGAGTACAAGAAACCACCCATTTACCATTTTCAACTATCCAATAAAGTGGTTAGAAATTGGCAATTTTGCCAATTTCACACAAATTTCAGATGATGCCAATTTCCAAATAGGGTCCAGAATAAACAAGAAAGACATTCCTGGCACTAAAATAAGAAGTTCTCTGTTTGTTAGTCATGTCCCCAGGCCCCTCTTATATTTCTTTTGCTTTCCACTTTGAATTTTTATTCTTACAAAAAATAGAAGATTTACTGTTATGCAGACTACTGCATTAGTGTAGAAATGGTATAAATAATATCAGCACACTTGTGAAAGAATATTAGATTCATCAGTTGATGTGTATTGGACGCTTGGCATGATTTGTTTACTTTTGAACTTTGGTAAAAATCCAACATTTCTGCTACTTTGAGCTCAATTTCAAGGTACTTTTCACTGTGAAACCAGTCAAAATCATCTCAATTTCTGTAGTATGTCTTCCATTCTGTAAAATGAGACCAGGAAAACTAGAATACACCCATAAATACCATACAGAAATGCAGTGCAAATTCGCTGTTTTAATCCAAAAACACGGTCAAAGTTTTTTTTTTTCTCATTACGCACTGTGTGCTGCAGGATTTTTTTTATACTGACCACATAGACCCATTCTTTCATATGTAGGCCTACCAGCTTTCTCTCGCTAGATTTGAAGGCGCTAGAATTTAGGTGTACTAGTACGTCAATAAATAACCCTGGTGCGTAAGCCGTACTAGTACGTCAAAAACTCTGAAAGGGTTAATATATTTATAGATGGGGTTGTAAAAGAAGTAAATGCTAGGGTGTTGGGGAGTGGGTTTAAATTATGGGGAATCAAATACAAAATGGGAATTGACAGCTACTGTTTGCTGATGATACTGTGCTTATGGGACATTCTAAAGAAAAGTTGTAAAGGTTAGTGGATGAGTTTGGGAGTGTGTGTAAAGGTAGAAAGTTGAAAGTGAACATAGAAAAGAGTAAGGTGATGAGGGTATCAAATGATTTAGATAAAGAAAAATTGGATATCAAATTGGAGAGGAGTATGGAAGAAGTGAATGTTTTCGGATATTTGGGAGTTGACGTGTCAGTGGATGGATTTATGAAGGATGAGGTTAATCGTAGAATTGATGAAGGAAAAACGGTGAGTGGTGCATTGAGATATCTGTGGAGGCAAAGAAGGGAATGTATGAAAGTACAGTGGACCCCCGGATAACGATCAGCTCCCAACTCGACCAATTATGTAAGTTTATTTTTGTAAGTGCTTTTGTAGGTGTATTTTTAGGGGTCTGAAATGGATAATCTAATTCACAATATTTCTTATGGGAACAAATTCGGTCTATAACGGCACCCAAACAGACTTCTGGATTGAAATAATATCGTTATGCGGGGGTCCACTGTATAGTGGTACCAACACACTTATGGTTGTGAGGCTTGGGTTGTAAATGCTGCAGCGAGGAGGCAGTTGGAGGCGGTGGAGATGTCCTGTCTAAAGGCAATGTGTGGTGTAAATATTATGCAGAGAATTCGGAGTGTGGAAATTAGAAGGTGTGGAGTTAATAAAAGTATGAGTCAGAGGGCTGAAGAGGGGTTGTTGAGATGGTTTGGTCATTTAGAGAGAATGGATGAAAGTAGAATGGCATGGAGAGCGTATAAATCTGTAGAGGAAGGAAGGCAGGGTAGGGGTTGTCCTCGAAAAGGTTGGAGGGAGGGGGTAAAGGAGGTTTTGTGGGCAAGGGACTTGGACCTGATGAGCTGTTGGAGTGTGAGCAGGGTAATATTTAGTGAAGGGATTCAGGGAAACCGGTTATTTTTATATAGCCGGACTTGAATACTGGAAATGGGAAGTACAATGCCTGCTCTTTAAAGGAGGGGTTTGGGATATTGGCAGTTTGGAGGGATATGTTGTATATCTTTATACATGTATGCTTCTAAACTGTTGTGTTCTGGGCACCTCTGCAAAAACAGTGATTATGTATGAGTGAGGTGACAGTGTTGAATGATGATGAAGGTATTTTCTTTCTTTTTGGGTCACCCTACCTAGGTAGGAGATGGCCAACTGTTAAAAAAAAAAAAAAATGCTTATAATCAGAATTTTTTGTACACTGCACTTTGTACACTGTGCACTTTAAATATAATTGCCTCCTCAGGCTTTATGTAAAGCCTTTATTTTAAATTGTTGTTATCCAACAATTTGTTCTCCCTTTTCCCCCTTTCCTTTTTTGTCTTTCTTCTGCCGTGTGTTTCTGTTCCTTCATTATTTATTTCATCACTTCCCCTTCCCCCCACCTCTGTGCACTTGCTCTCCCCCCACCTCTGTGCACTTGCTCTCCCCCCACCCTGTGCACTTGCTCTCCTCCCCCACATCTCTGTGCACTTGCTCTCCCCCCACCTCTGTGCACTTGCTTCCTCCACCCCCACCTCTGTGCACTTGCTCTCTCTCTGTGGGCACCTAGCTCCTTTGCAGTGCTCCCCTTTCTTTGTATTTGACTGGCTCCTCCTTTACTACTACTACTACTACTGCTACTGCTACTGCTACTACTACTACTACTACTACTACTACTACTACTTCGTCTTCGTCTTCTTCTATATAGCCGTCGTGCTCCACTTCTGGTTAGTGTGACTTTGTAAATGGTCCAAGTCGGACCGAAACGTCCTTGTAAGCTCCTCTCTTCTATGTGCGGGTTATTTGTGTATCGTTCCAGTCACGGTATTGTGCCTTTTTTTTTGTTATTTAGTAGATTCTCATAATGGGGAAATGCTAAACCAGTATGGGTCATGCAGCACTAAGTGATTGGGAAGCAGATGATTTTAATCCAAGAAAGGGCACTTGTAGATTCATGGGGAAGTGTTTAACCCATGAGGATCATAGCACATACATGGGAAATTGGGGATAATCATGTTTGATCCAAGAAGAGGGAAGGGTAGCTTTAGTTCCTTGGATCAGTAGTCCTTCACTAGGATTAAGCCATTTACCTTGAGGGGCATACAAAATAGAATAATGTAGTTTATTACTCTTTCACTGTCTCTTGTAGATCTGTGTTATGAGCTCAGCTTCCTCAGATAAGCTGCGAGTGGTAAATTTTAGCCTAGATATGAGAGAATTGGTCTATGCAGTGAATGTGTACAGTATAAAAAGAAAATCCTGCTGCAAGTGGTTCTGACCTTGTTTGGTTTCAAATAGTAAATTTGAGGTGTTTTCTAGAATGGTTTTCATGGTTTTATTGGCTGTTTCTTAGAAGATATGCTATTTATATGGAGATTATTATGGTTGGTTTCAGGACAAAGCAGCTTTAAATTAGTTTCAAATTAGTGGAAATATTCAATTTTTTGCCAATTTTCCTGTGGATGGAAAATGGAAGGTAAGTGTAATATAGGAGAGGCCTAGGAATGTATTAATGAACAGAAGAAAGTGACTGGAATGTCTACACTGTATATTTTGATATTTGTTTTTAAAATTAATTTTTTTTTTTTTTTTGTGTAAAATTGGTCAGTTTACAAACTTATGTACACTATAGGGTAGAGCTGCTAGTTGAATGGATGGTTTCTTGTGCTCAGTTGAGAGGACGGAAGGCATATTAACGAAATAACTAAGAATTTGATCGAATGATCAGTGGAATTGGCTCTAAAATAGGATTCGGTGTTGACAAAATCGCCAGCGAGTAAATTGCACCTAGACCACTAACTTTGAGCCTGTGTAATTCTATAAGTTTTCCATCAAATTTCATACTTTTGGTGCCATTACCTCCAGGAAAAGTTTCTGTATCATTACACAATTTTTTTTTTAAATGTGCACGCACAGCCATTTTTATTTTAGGGGTCCTGACAGTGAAAGGGTTAAGGATCGATATACTTTGACTTTCAGTGCTGAAGTAATACTACATAGTATATTTCTATTAGTGTATACGTAAAGGATTCCTCTAAAAAATTTCAAGTACGAAACCAGTATACAGTAGATCACCAATTAGAATTTAATTAGACTCCACGAGATTATTTTAGCATAACTAAGAAATTGTAGATGGAAAAATACAGCATGGAAAAAAAAAGTCAGTGTTGAATGCTGAAGAGTGGGAAAAGATGAGATGGGGCCATGGTAGTACATGCTATGAATTTTTTCCCTCAAATGTTGCAGTCTGTGAACCCAAATGTCAATACAGTGGACCCCAGCATAACGATTACCTCCGAATGTGACCAATTATGTAAGTGTATTTATGTAAGTGCGTTTGTACGTGTATGTTTGGGGGTCTGAAATGGACTAATCTACTTCACAATATTTCTTATGGGAACAAATTCGGTCAGTACTGGCACCTGAACATACTTCTGGAGTGAAAAAATATCGTTAACCGGGGGTCCACTTTATTGTGTTTAACCCACTTGATGTAATCAATGGATTGAGGAGTTAAGACTTGGATGCCACTATGCATGAAAGGTAATGAAAAACTCAATGGCAGTAGATGAGAACTAAGACTGGAGTGCCAGAGTTCTAGCATAACTTTCTTCAGATGCATTTGCATACATAAGTGGCACGTAAGAAAGTGCCCCATTAAACTCTAAATGCAAGTTGGGGTCAGTTATTGGCAGCTGTGGAGAATTTCTCTGGCATTTCCTCAGTAAGTGGTCAAGAAAATTGACCGACAAGTGGTGACACATGAGGGCTTTCAAGATATGCATGAAGTCATTGAAGATGATGCATCTGCAGAAGAAATGCTGGAGGACCTTAATTCCTAGTTAGGAGAGAGATAAAAGAACATAAGGATGAAGAATAACTAAAATAAACACTTAACACTGCAGGGATTACTTAAGTGATACCATATAATTGCTAGCTTTGTAGACTTTCACTGAGAAGAATCCTGACATGTCTAGAGGCAGAGCTTTGAAGCAGGATCTGGAGCAGGTGATGATGCCTTACCAAGTGTATAAAGTACAGCTGGGAAAAACAAGGTGCACACAATACATGACCACTACTGACAACTCTGCATCAACATAAGCACAAGAAGTACAACCATCCTCCTCAGACCCACATGAACCTTCTCCAGAAACTTCTATATAACATTATTATATTGGGGGGGGGTACTAAACCCATAGGATTATACAGCACATGGGGGGGGGGGGGGGACTGGAAGGTATTCAGGCTCAGTTCAGGGAACCGGAGCACAGATCCATTTCTCTAGATCAAGAGCCCCTCGCCAGCATCAAGGAACCTCCCTTGAGGGGTCTATATGAACAAGTAACAGCAATCTCAATATAAGGTAAGAAAAGGTTTGTAATTTTTAATGCTTTACAATATTTAAAAAAAAATTGGCTTGGCTTTTTAGGTCTCTGGAGCATAACCCAAATTTTCAAATGTTTTCTTCAGATTAGTTAGCACTAAATTAGAATGAACTCCAATTTTCAGAAGTGTAATTTATTCTGATTGACAGTCAACATTATTACACATTTCCAGACTCGCAGTATTCATATTCTCCTATTATTATATTGCCAGGGAAGTGTTTACCCTTAATGGTTGTACAGTGCCTGATCATGGGAGGTACTCAGATTTGATACAAGTAAAGGGAGGGGGAAACTCCAGTTCCTTAGATAAAGCCCAGCTGTTTATGAATGTTTGTTACTTAAGAAAGGATAGAGTACACAAGTACTACACACCCTACTGTACATGTATTATTATTTGAAGAAATTATAAACCTGTAGGGTCATGCAGTATCTGGGGAATAAACAATCAACTTCAGTCCAAGGAAAGATCCAATTCCTTGGATAGTCCTCCCTTGCATGTACATGTAGAGTAACTGTATGGAGTTACTGTATTGTATCCATACAGTACAATAATTACTTAAGTCACCCTGCCTCGGTGGGATACCGCCTAGTCGTTGGAAAAAAAAAAAAAACACCTGTCTTTCATTATTGAAGGTACTGCATAATGCAAGCAGCCAAATATGCCATGTTTGATAAAACTATAATGTTCACAGACTGATTCTAGGCAATATTCGCTGTATAGCCCTTGTGGCTTGGCGCTTCTTTTGATTATAATAATAATTTAGGCAATATTGATATTTTTTATTTTCAGAGTGAAGAACTGAATGCTAGCCATCTTACAGCATCTTCGTATGCCTAGGGCACAGTGCCCATGTTTCCTGGATGAGAACTTGTGCTGACTGCATTTTCAGAAGGAATATTTAAGACTTGTATTTTCAAAATTTTAAATATAAAACTTATCTGAAACTTTGTCAGTGTGAATGCTATAAAGTTCATATCTAATACAGAAAAATTATAATGTAGCAACTAGTGTGCTGAATAAGAGCAACTTAGTCTCTACGGAAATAGGTACCCACATTTTCACACTGAAATCAAATTTTTTTTTTAAACTTTCATAACTTAAAAATGTAGAAAATTTATTTGTTCCTATTTATTATGAAATAATAGTCTGTTGAAATTCAGAATTCTTGTTTCAATAAGTGATTTATTTTCTGTTTAAGAGTGTGATTAAATTTTTTTTGTTCTTCATAATAATGTATTATTATTATTGCTTTTATTTACATATGGCACCTTTTATTAATTTTTAATAATGTAATATTGTTATAGAAAAACTGTTAAATGAAAACAAGTGTGAAATCTTACATTTTCCACACCAGTGTTTAATGCAGGTTCAACATTATATCCAAGAAGGTAAACTGAATCTTAGTTGTTATTCCATGTATCCATTCAATAGTAGAAAATTATTTAAAAAATATAAAGTGAATTGACAGTTTCTTCATTATAACAATGATCATGTGATGTTCTTTGTAAAAAGATAACTCTGGCCTCCAGGAGGTTATTAGTTATTATAAAAAATGTAATAACTATTTTATTGGTTTCTTAATGAAACTATAATTTTACTACATACTAAGTAAGTGTAGGATTATTTTTTAATCAAAATTTTTAATAAAACAATAGTATACTTTTTTGATCAGCTTCAGACTGTCATTCTGAAAAACAGAAGCTTCCATGAAGTATCCTAGTTTGTGACAGAGGAGGGTGTTAACTCCATGAAAATGAGGTAACTCAATAGACAACACCTGAGAGCCAATCAATATGACAGGAGTGACTGTGACAAACCCCTAGCCTTAAATAGCTGCCAGTTCATGTAGGTATTCAACTCATTAAGAAAGATTTGGATTCCTTCATACAATAAACCTTCAACCCAAGGCACAGAACAGGAATTGCAAATGTGGAACCTCAAGAAGACCAGTAGTTGATTATTGCTGAAACATTTCTCTATATGTACAGTAATTTTTTGTTAGCTATACACAAAGAAACCAAACTAGATTCTGCCAGTCATTGGGTATCTTTGTTGCCTTTCTTGAATGGTAATGCATATTTTGTAGCATGATTGCATCTTTTTTGATGTGCTGCATAAAAAACAAGGATTAAGAAAGATATCACTGTCAATAAGTTACTGTGTATTTTCTAATGCTCTATTACTAAGCACAGAGAATGCCTCCTTCATCAATATTCATTGTACAAAATACTTCTTACTGTACTTTAGATGCAAGATTGTCACTACTGGTTAATCAAATCTGGAATTTTGCTTTGTAAAATTAAATACCATACAAGTTGCTATTATGAAAAAATCGCATCCTATGTGCATGACTGGTTAAGTCAATCGAGTGATGTCTTAAATAGTTGCATACACCATACAATAAAATTATTACCTATTTTCCATGACAAGTGAAATAACTTTGTCTTCAAAACTTAAATCTATTAGCACGTCTGAGATCCATTTTTCAAAATGATGTGTAAATGCATTAAAAAGAACCTACTGTACATAAATAATATTTTTTTAATAGTAATTTATATATATATATATATATATTTCATATGGATAACTGGATTAACAAAATTATACTTACTCAGTTACTATATCCCAAACATCACATAAATATTTTAATTACATAACTGCCATACAGGCATATAAAAAAACAAGGGCAATATGTTAATTACTGCATAATAACAATCAATTTGACAATAGGTCCTCAGACAAATGCAAGGTGTAACTATATTCAGAAAAGTGCCACAAGTTTATTTCACATTGTATAAAGCTGTATCAACTATATTGCAGACAAGAACTACAAAATTTGGTGAAAAAATTTTTATTCATTCATTCCTTCTGTGAAGCTGTGTTAACTTCTTCACTGACAGAGACTATAAAAATGAGGTGAATGTGTTTTTGTTTTTTTTGTGAAGCTTTATCACTGACAAATACTACAAAACTGGGTGAACATTGTCTATAAAATACGATAGCAGAGACCACAGCTGTATCGACACGTGCAACATATGACTAACACATAAGAGACATTAAAGATCATGAAAAATTTGGCAGTTTTTGGGACAAAAAAAGGAAGAGCTTCGAATGCCAGTTCTCCAGCTTCATAATCTACCTGTAAAAAATGTTTATAATTAGTACAAATAGCAATGTTAAATTATAACATTTTCCCACTTCTTGCACATCAGAAATCATACATTACAATGAGTCTCTCAATAAGGGGTTAATGTTAATTAAATAAATGTATACTATATTTATATTTACTGCCACCAGCAACAAGAGGAAATATAAACATTTTTGAGGCTTTTTTTTTTTACCTTTAGGAAATCTTCATTTCTAAGAGATTAAAGAGTTCTAAATGGGAATCTGAAGGTGAAGAAATTGGTTCTCATGCTAGGCAGATGTGTAGGAAAATGAGAAGTGTGCATTGCATTTCTCAAGTTTTTCTATCTTCAATGTTGAGTTATATTATGTTTTCCCAAAACATGTTCATTTGTCAAGGTCAGGAATACTGTTCTGTATATTGCCTATAAAGCCGATCTCTTCACTCACGGTTGAATTATTTTCCTATTTTACTATAATTCTCCAAGAGCTTTTATCATTCCAACCATATGTTAGTTTTATGCCTGGTATGACTCTTTAGAGGAATAAATAATAAAAATTGAGTTGTTGAGGTGTAATTTGGGCATTTAGAAATAACTAAGAGGGTTTGTAAATCTAGAGTGAAAGGAGGGGTATGGATCAATACAAGAAAGGGCTGAAAGGAGGTGGTAAAGGAAGTTATGAATGCTAAGAGCTTGAACATCCCACAGACATGTGTAAGCATGTTACATTGGAGCAAGTGGAAATTGGTTTTAATGTATCGGTAAGTTAATATACATATACAAAGGGACTCAGGGAAACCAGTTAGCTGGACTGGAGTCCAGCTAACTGGTGCAAAAACAGTGCACATACAAAAGGGCTCTGCATATATAGCACTCTTTTTGGTGTTCCACATTTGTGTTGGCTTTCAACTGAGCCACTGTTCTTTATGATCACTGCTTATACCATTTTTCTGCCATTTTTATACAACAGTTGTGTAAGGGAAGGGTGAATTTTTAAATGCCTAGCTGTACTAAGCACAAAGTATGATGGTGTAAACATGTTGTCAGGTGTTTTAAACACATTCAATAATGAAAAAACTGCTCTAATCCACCCACTTGCAATTTTCACTTACAGTACGAGGTTGGGAACTTAAGAGCTATATATACGGGGCCCTCTACATTTTTACAGTTAACATTAGTGGACATTGTAGGTAGTAGGTTGGTAGACAGCAACCACCCAAGGAGGTACTACCATCCTGCCAAATGAGTGTAAAACGGAAACCTGTAATTGTTTTACATGATGGTAGGATTGCTGGTGTCTTTTTTTCTGTCTCATAAACATGCAAGATTTCAAATACGTCTTGCTACTTCTACTTACACTTGGGTCACATTATGCATACATGTACAAGCATATATATACACACCCCTATGGGTTTTCTTCTATTTTCTTTCTTGTTCTTGTTTATTTCCTCTTATCTCCATGGGAAAGTGGAACAGAATTCTTCCTCCGTAAGCCATGCGTGTTGTAAGAGGTGACTAAAATGCCGGGAGCAAGGGCCTAGTAACCCCTTCTGTATAAATTACTAAATTTAAAAAGAGCAACTTGTTTTTCTTATTGGGCCACCCTACCTTGGTGGGATACGCCGGTTTGTTGAAAAAAAAAAAATTAGTGGACATGTTTGTCTGCTTTGCTAAACATTATTTAATGTGGATATATCATCAACACTATCCTCAAGGAACCAACGTGACCTTTTCTTCCCTCACCAACCACTCTCACATCGATAGCTTCTACTATTCCCTTCACTTGATAGCCTGCCTTATGTAATCTAATGATCTGCACACCTGTATCTTATGTCAGTGACTTACTCCTGCCCACATTAATTTGTCTATGGCCAAATATGTCTTAGCAAACTCAGCACTCAAGACCACATGGTGCATGGAGACCAATGACACAATCAGTCCACCACACAAGCCTAAAAGACCCTTAGGACCTTAGTAAATCCGGAGACATCCCACTGCATGTTGCTAGGCCAGTTTATCTTTTTTGTCTCGCCAAAACTCCTACCAGGGAACGACATTACTTTCGTCATTAAAGTATGCCAGCTGCCTCCACCCAGCCTGATTTAAGATGAGCACTAATCAAAGAAATTTACACCTACTTACCGGCAAAGTGTAGCATCAATCTGTGTAAGTGAAGGAAGTGCTAGTTTGATTTTGCGACGGTAATTAGGGTCCCGCTGTAATGGATTTCCCTCTAGATAAACTGTCTGTAAACCTTTTGCGTTTTCCAGCTGCTTCAAGTCATTCCAATCATTGATCTGGTTACCATTAAACTGAAGAGAGATAAGAGTGAGTATTAGCCACAGAAATATTAAAATAAACACTAACCTCCTGATTCACAGGCCCTGTATATTTGCAGTATGATTATTGTTTACACAAAGATTTCCAAATTCACACCCAATCAACTCGAGTATTGAATGTTACACGAGTTCTGTTTCATCCCCTACAAGCAGGACAACTCGTGCACGAGTCAAGAATAGCTATCCATAAAATAAATTTTATTTTATTTTGTTATGAAGAAATGTTAATAGGAAGTGTACCAGAATTTAATTTATTTATAAAATACCATGTAATTTAGGAGGAACACTAGGACCACAGAAAATGTGACTTCATAAATAGCAAAATCACATATATATGTACAAGGGCTTACTGTACATGACTCACTAAATGTGGGATTGAGGAAAAAATATCACATGAACAGGAAAGATTTAATAATGAAATCATGTTCTAGGAGGATATCAACATAGTCTTGCATTTGGTAGCCCATGGCCTGGTGGTGGTGAGGGTTCAAGTTTGATTCCCGGCAAGGGTTGAAACATTGGGCATGTTTCCTTACACCAGTTGTCTATGTTCGCTCATCAGTATAAAATGGGTATCTGGGTGTTAGTCGACTGGTGTGAGTTGCCTCCTGGGACAAAAATGATTTAATCTGCTTGAATTGCTTTCTGTAGTAGTATGTCACTGATGTCAGCTAGGCCTGTATACCTTGAACATGTACTTATAAAAGATATTATCATCAATTTTTAAATAGCAATAAAATATACAGTGGACCCTCAGTTAATGATGCCATCGGATAGCGATAGAATCGGATACCGATACGTTTTTGCGTCAAAATATTGGCTCGGCTAACAATAAAAAACTCAGTTAAGGACATTCGTCTAGAACGTGTCTGCGCAGTTTGAGCCGCCAGGCCACTCCAGTGTGCCATTGTTTACAAGCCACTGCGGACGATTCCATGCATACATGCAATACATTTTGCATTATTCCATTGTTTTTAGTGCTTGTAACTGCTAAATAAGCCACCATAGGCCCAAAGAAAGCTTCTAGTGCCAGCCAGCCCTTTGGTAAAGGGCTAAGAGAGAAGGGAGAATGTGCCTTTTTCAGTGATCCTGCAATATGTACGATACTAAAGCAGCAGGAGTCTATAAAGGGTATAGCAGCAGCCAGCGATCAAGTGTAGCATTAACCGTAGCAAGTAAGTTAAGCGATTAATCGATAGAAAGAGACAGCATGAACCTAACTCCTCCAATGTTGTTGGAGTTATGTAGGGTGACTGACAACACTGCCATCTCTACCGCCTCCCTCCACCACTATGTACGGCTTATGCTCTCAGTGGCCCTTATACACCCAACAGCAACAACACAGCAACACTCGTGACATACTTAATGATGTATTTTATTCATTCTAGAGTATTAATAACATGGAAACATGACATATATTGTTTATTATGTCATATTAGATAAACTGTGCTAGATAAATAAGCCGTAGAGCTGATATTAGTGTCATATTGAAGGACTATCTTGTCTCCTCCAACACAATTCCTAAAATACGCCAGAAACAGACCTCTCTGGAAAACTTTTTTGAGTGACAGGGGTCCAGTGGCTCTCGAGCTGGTCCTAGTGGCATTAAAAAACAAAGGAAGAGAGTAACCCAGGATAAGGACTTGGTACCTGAAGTCTTTATGGAGTGGGATTCCCCTTCCAAACAATTGTAAACTCCTCTATCCTCTCCCCTCCTCCTGTCTTCCATACATCACCATCTCTTCAATAAAGGTAAGTGTGATATTATTGTTTTATTCTTCATGTATCATTGTTTTCTGTGTAGGAAAATGTATATTTCATGTAAAAAAATTATTTTGTTTAATACTCTTGGATGTCTTAAATGGATTAATTGGATTTCCATTATTTCTTATGGGGAAAATTAATTCGGATGATAAAATCGGTTAAGGACAAGCTCTCTGGAACAGATTAATATCCTTAACTGAGGGTCCACTGTACATAGCAGATAAAAATGGTGTATAAATTTAAAGAAAGTGAACACAAGAGTACAAAAACCACTACAGAAAACTACAAAAAATACAAGTTTATTTTTATTACTACCTTCATAATTATTAGGTTTGGTAAACACGTTTCAATGCTGATTAAAAAAAAGGGCCATATATATGTAGATAAATTTAAAACTTACCCAGAATTCCTCTAGCTCAGAAAGATGATTAATGTTTTCAATCTTTTTAATTCTGTTGACAGCCATATCCAAGGTCTGAAGTTTGATATTATTGTCAAGACCTTCTAGTGCTTCTATGCCATTATGAGAACAGTAAAGCTGTTCCAGGTTGACAAGACGACCAAGACCTTCAATCTTGGTTATTCGGTTACTCTGAAAGTACAATTTTTTGGCGTGAGTAATGAATCTTTTCAATATTTCTAATTACTGGTCTGTCTCTATCAATATCTTGACTATGTAGTACAGCAATCACTGCACAGCCATAAAAACAAAAAATGCACCCATGGTACTAATACACACCCAAACCCTTTCCCTCCTTCTCTCCTCTCTCCTCCCTCCCTCACACATACAAAACATCTTAAGCAGAATACAAATTTTTAATCTTCTTATTGATCCGAGAGAAGCTCACAACTGCTTGAGGTTTGTTTTACAGGTTAAAACGATAAAATAATAAGCATGAAATAATAACCAAATTACTGATATTGTTCAGCATTTTATAGCTTTAATATTCTGTAAATATATGTAGACTAATCTTGCTAAAACTATTTTGAGACATTTCAAACATCTTTAAGTCAAAAGATATTTCATTCATTAGACATCATATAAATTTGTTAAAGAGAATATCATATGCTTGTTAGAGCATTTACAGGGAGACTTTTTCTTTATGAAACAAATAAAAGCTAAGAGTTAAAAACTAGTTACAAACAATGGTGTGAATGTAAATCTGGTCTCTGATGATAATGCTGCCGATTTTGAAGGTTTCATTAAAAACTCACCATGAGATTATGGATGAATTAATGACTCATTATCTACCAGAAGTCATTCCTGATATAATTCATCAAGATACTCGCGTCTGAAATGAATATGACAACAATCTTCGTTGTATGCACTCCAATGCATTTGCTATACATCCACTCCATAATATGAAGACCAGAACTGTGTTGCATAATCTAAAGCGTTACCAATGATTTACAAAGCAGCAGAATAACCAAAGGAGTCTGTTCCTTTTATCTCCTATGAAGATAAGCTGAAGGCACTCAATTTGCACTCTCTGGAAAGGTGCAGAATGTGGGGTAGGGAATATGATTAAACTATTGGTGTATGAATGGAAAGCCAGATTAAATACACAGACATGATTAAAGTGGATATAAAGGGAATATATTTAAAGGGGTTTGAATGCTCAGAGGCTTGTATGAGTGTTAGAATTAAGTGGAAGCTAGTGTTTTTTTTATGATTCAATGTGCTGTTGGAATGTGAGCAAGGTGGCATTTATGAATGAATTCAGGGAAACCGGTTAGCCAGACTTAAGCCCTGGAGGTAGGAAGTACTGTACAGTGGAACCTCATTACTCAAACAGCTCTGTGCTCGAACAATTCGGTATTTGGTAAAAAAAAATCACTCGGTAGTCAACCGTTTGCTCAGCACTCGACCAAACAAACATGACCTGTCAGAACTTCGCTGTAAACTATTTCATGTTTCTTGGCATTTTTTAAATTATTTGTATGAATAAGTCACCATGGGGCCTAAGAGGGTTAGTGATAACAACTAACCAAAAATAAAATTGGTCGAGAAAAATTCGTTCTGTACTTGAACAGCCTTCTGGAACCAATTAAGTTTGAGTGCCAAGGTTCCACTGTATACAGCCTCTCCTCACTTAATGACAGAGTTCCATTCCTAAGACCACGTCAGTAAACAAATTTTTCACTAAGTGAGGAGCATACAAAAATAGTAGTGGGTTTGTGTCAACCACCTTTTATACTGTTTTAATGTCACCTTTGCACCATTTATAACATTTCTGGTAATTTATAAATGTTCATATAGTAGTGCGCTGTATACTGTAATAAACAGAATAGAGGAAATCAGCTCTAATATTCATTATTTAGGTATGCATACTAGTCAGAGAGCCCGTTGTAAGTCCGGGTTGTTGGTAAACAATATGTCAGTAAGTGAGGAGAGGCTGTAGTGCTTTAATTCTGAAGGAGAGGTAAGGATGTTGCAATTTGGAGGGTCTTCTGAACTGTGGTGTCAGCATGCTTCTGGCAAGACAGTGACTGAATGAATGATTCATGAAAGTGTTTCAGGTCACCCTTCCTCAGTAGGAGACAGCCAGTGCTGAAAACATTAACTCAAGCAACAGACAAAAGTTGGAAAAATTACATTTATGAAGGATATAGAAAAGCACTGGTTTGACAACAGCTATTGATGAGTGAAACAACTTCTAGGGTAGCTTTAAATATAAGTTGCACAAATAAATGAGTGTGAAGGGTTGAGTTTAAGAAGCTTGATCTATGTTCAAGAGCATAACAGCATTCTGAATAATGTTCGTACAGAAGTGGTAAGTAGTACTGCATTAATATTATTCATATTGTGTTTATTTTTAATGTTGTTTAGTCCTCTAGAGATTCTGCTAAGTGTTTAAGCTGGGATTTCAGTCAGGTGTTACACCCTAAGCCCGAGGAGTTCATGATAACTGGACACGACAGTAGGACTATAATAACTTTTTTTTAATTTGCAAGATAAATAAAAATATCTGCTGTATCAAGAAACATAAAAAATTTCCAGTACTGCCTATCAAAAGTACATCACTCACCTGTACACCAAGTATCTCAAGGTTGATAAGCGAGTCCAGATTCTGTAACTTCATTATTTTGTTCTTACCCAGGAAGATGCTATTTAAATTTGTCATTCCATCTAGGTTTTCAATGACCTGTTGACAGTCAAGCAATCTAGTTTTATTAAATTTTCAGTAATACAATGTAAATATTTATCAAAAATGTTAAAATTCCTATTTCAGGATAGGCTGAATCTATTTATATATCTATTCTTTTACTCTGTTTGCAGCCTCTACCCTCTTATTCCACTCATATACTCTCTCTCTCTCTCTCGATTCACTGGTCTGTAATAACCGAGACTCACTCTCTCTACAGGTCCATATTAAAATACTCTATCCCTAATTGTTCACCATCTTTTATAAGTGAAAAATATCAATGATGACTAAGTGAGGCTAATCTGTCTTGTGCCAAAGCACATTCTCCTGCAAATCACCAGATGTGAGGCAATCAGGTTTGGTCCAAGGAAGCGGAGGTACTCCAATTCTATAATCAAGAGCCTTCTACTGCATCAAGGTACCCCCCCGGAGTTTACCCTCAAAGTTTTTTTTTCAACAACCAGCCTTCCACCAAGCAGGACTGCCTAAAAGAAAAAACCAATTTCTTTTAATCAGTATTTATATTGGAAGTGTTCTAGCCCTTGCTCGGATTTTAGTCATCTATGAACACACAGATTATGGGAATCTTTCCACTTCCCAATGGAGGTACAGGAATATAGAATAACAACTATTGAGAAAATAAGAAACTCAGATGGGTTGTCCAATATATTCATGACTATGCATTGTAATGGACCTAAGTTTTTGTGAGGTGCAAGATACACCAGGTATCCTACAAGTTAGAGAAGAAAGACACAGCAATCTAAATCATGTAAAACAATTGAACAGTATTCTGTTTACATCACTTGGCAGAATGGTATTACTTCTGGGCGGTTGTGCTACCACTACTACTAGAAAGTGTAGCTGTCTTTCCAAAGTAATGGGCCAAAAAGAATCTTACTAATCAATACTCCGTTTAAGGCAACTATAGGAAGTACGCTTGAAATTTATTGCTAGTTTAAGATGGCGTACAGTGCTGCGTCTGAGTTCTAAAGATGGCAGGTACAGTGCCTGCCCTCGGAAGGATGGGTGGGAATGTTGTGAGTTAGAGGGTCATTTGAATTGTTATGTCCATTTACTCTTGATAAAAGAGCTATTGAATGAGTAATGGTAAATGTGTTTCCTTATCTGAGTTACTTTACATTGGTGGGAAATAACTGATAACCTTTTTTTTATACACCTGTATGCTGGTTTGGAACTCTTTGAAACAGTTACTACATACACAGAAACAACAATTCAAACAGATACTACTGCATCAAGATTTCAAGCCTTTCTAATACTAACATCCTGTTCCTCACCCTTATTTTGTTGTCCCCAAGTTCAAGTAGTTCCAGGTTTCTTAAATGGTTGACATTTTCAATCCGTGATATCTTGTTAGCACACAAAAACAGCTTCTTCAGGTTGGTTAGTCCCTCCAAGTTCTCAATTTTTCTAATTCGATTGAAAGAGATATCAAGAACCCTAGATGGGAAAAAAGAATCCAATCAATCATAATGTATGAATATTATCAATTTAGGTTGTTAGTTAGAGATGTAAATCAATGTTGGAAGACTGCCTAGTTTGAGAGAAAATTATGAAGTTCTGGAAAAGGTATGTATTATTTATGAATGCAATTTCAATGTGTACAGTAGAGGTTAGTTACATTAGAAGAATGGATGAAAAAGAAGTAAAAACTTACTGGTGGAACGGTAAGGTACAAATGTGAATAAGAAATAAAAAATTAGGATGCTAAGGATTTTTGAAATGCAAAATTTTTGCAAATAATAGAATGTGTGAAGGTACTGTCAAATCTCCCTGTATATAACTAGATAGAATAAATATATATAGTGAACAGGGCAGGGAGAACTTAAAAGTAACAATCAATAACAGAGCTGCACAAGGAAAGGATGAGCAAAAATTAACAATACAGTATGTTGAAAGCTGTAAAGAATCTTTATAAGGGAAGTGAGGCATATGTTATATGCAGAAAAGAAGAATGATATGTGCGTGTGTGGTGATTTTGCATTTGATACACAAGGGGCTGTAAGACAGGTAAATGCAAATGTTTAGAAGAGATATAGTTCTGAGAAATAACAAAACTGATTCAAGGTGGGAACTGTCACAATGGATGTTTGCAGAGAAAGATGAGCTGCAGAAGTTGGTACTGTGGAAGAATCTCGAAGGGTGTGCAAAATGAGGAAGTTGACAAGAGACTATTAGACAAGAACAAGGTGGTGAGAACAAGCAGAATACTAAGAATGAAACAGATGTCAAAATGGAAGAAAAAGACATTCAAGGCCATGAATGTACTGGTATGAACTCATACACTATAGGTAAAGTGAATCAACACATGGTTCTATGAAAGATGAGGTAAATTACAGAATAAAGGAAGAAAAGGAAGTTGCAGGAATGTTGGAGAGTTCATGAAAGACAAAAATGTCAATGGACGCAAAAATGGGGATGTACCGGAGAACTATGGTGGGGATGATTTTTTATACAAGTATGAAAAATATAAGTATAAAAAATGAATAAACATGCAGACTGTGTAATTGTGAAAAGGTTATATAAATATGGGGTGAATGGAAAGTGATGCAGTAGAGCATTCAGAGATGAATTGGAAGGATGGTTTGAAATGAACAATGCTAGGTAAGTACATGGACATTTAGTAGACATGTGTAAGTGTATTAGACTAGAATGACTGAGATTTGTCATACTGTTGGAATGTAATAGTCAATGTATATACAGAGTGCAAAGATGAGTAGTGGGGGGGTTGAAGAGGGTTGGAATAGTTTTAAAAATGCAGTATTAGAATGTGGGGCAGAAGTTTGTGGTTATAGGAGGGTGAGGGCAGGAGGAAAGTGGAGTGATTGGTGGAATGATGAAGTAAAGGGTGTGATAAAAGAGAAAAAGAGAAAGGTAGCTTATGAGAGGTTTTTACAAAGCAGAAGTGTTATAAGAAGAGCAGAGTATATGGAGAGTAAAAGAAAGGTAAAGAGTGGTGAGAGTGCAAAAGGAGAGCAGATGATAGAGTAGGAGAGGCACTGTCAAGAAATTTTAATGAAAATAAGAAAAAATTTTGGAGAGAGTTAAACAAGTTAAGAAAGCCTAGGGAAAGTATGGATTTGTCAGTTAAAAACAGAGTAGGGGAGTTAGTAGATGGGGAGATGGAGATATTAGGTAGATGGCGAGAATATTTTGAGGAACTTTTAAATGTTAAGGAAGAAAGAGAGGCAGTAATTTCATGCACTGGTCAGGGAGGTATACCATCTTTTAGGAGTGAAGAAGAGCAGAATGTAAGTGTGGGGGAGGTACTTGAGGCATTACGTAGAATGAAAGGGGGTAAAGCAGCTGGAACTGATGGGATCATGACAGAAATGTTAAAAGCAGGGGGGATATAGTGTTGGAGTGGTTGGTACTTTTGTTTAATAAATGTATGAAAGAGGGGAAGGTACCTATTGGGAGTTGGCAGGTAGAGGCAAGCTGTATAGTCCCTTTATATAAAGGGAAAGGGGACAAAAGAGACTGTAAAAATTATAGAGGAATAAGTTTACTGAGTATACCAGGAAAAGTGTACGGTAGAGTTATAATTGAAAGACTTAGAGGTAAGACAGAATGTAGGATTGCGGATGAGCAAGGAGGTTTCAGAGTGGATAGGGGATGTGTAGATCAAGTGTTTACATTGAAGCATATATGTGAACAGTATTTAGATAAAGGTAGGGAAGTTTTTATTGCATTTATGGATTTAGAAAAGGCATATGATAGAGTGGATAGAGGAGCAATGTGGCAGATGTTGCAAGTACAGTGGACCCCCACATAACGATCACTTCCGAATGCGACCAATTATGTACGTGTATTTATGTAAGTGCGTTTGTACGTGTATGATTGGGGGTCTGAAATGGACTAATCTACTTCACAATATTCCTTATGGGAACAAATTCGGTCAGTACTGGCACCTGAACATACTTCTGGAGTGAAAAAATATCGTTAACCGGGGGTCCACTGTATATGGAATAGGTGGTAAGTTATTAAATGCTGTAAAGAGTTTTTGAGGATAGTGAGGCTCAGGTTAGGGTGTGCAGAAGAGAGGGAGACTACTTCCCAGTAAAAGTAGGTCTTAGACAGGGATGTGTAATGTCACCATGGTTGTTTAATATATTTATAGATGGGGTTGTAAAGGAAGTAAATGCTAGGGTGTTCGGGAGAGGAGTGGGAATTGACACAGTTTCTTTTTGCTGATGATACTGTGCTTATGGGAGATTCTAAAGAAAAATTGCAAAGGTTAGTGGATGAGTTTGGAAATGTGTGTAAAGGTAGAAAGTTGAAAGTGAACATAGAAAAGAGTAAGGTGATGAGGGTATCAAATGATTTAGATAAAGAAAAATTGGATATCAAATTGGGGAGGAGGAGTATGGAAGAAGTGAATGTTTTCAGATACTTGGGAGTTGACGTGTCGACGGGTGGATTTATGAAGGATGAGGTTAATCAAGAATTGATGAGGGAAAAAAGGTGAGTGGTGCGTTGAGGTATATGTGGAGTCAAAAAACGTTATCTATGGAGGCAAAGAAGGGAATGTATGAAAGTATATTTAGTACCAACACTCTTATATGGGTGTGAAGCTTGGGTGGTAAATGCAGTAGCGAGGAGACGGTTGGAGGCAGTGGAGATGTCCTGTTTAAGGGCAATGTGTGGTGTAAATATTATGCAGAAAATTCGGAGTGTGGAAATTAGGAAAAGGTGTGGAGTTAATAAAAGTATTAGTCAGAGGGCAGAAGAGGGGTTGTTGAGGTGGTTTGGTCATTTAGAGAGAATGGATCAAAGTAGAATGACATGGAAAGCATATAAATCTATAGGGGAAGGAAGGCGGGGTAGGGGTCGTCCTCGAAAGGGTTGGAGAGAGGGGGTAAAGGAGGTTTTGTGGGCAAGGGGCTTGGACTTCCAGCAAGCGTGCGTGAGCGTGTTAGATAGGAGTGAACAGAGACGAATGGCACTTGGGAACTGACGATCTGTTGGAGTGTGAGCAGGGTAATATTTAGTGAAGGGATTCAGGGAAACCGGTTATTTTCATATAGTCGGACTTGAGTCCTGGAAATGGGAAGTACAATGCCTGCACTTTAAAGGAGGGGTTTGGAATATTGGCAGTTTGGAGGGATATGTTGTGTATCTTTATATGTGTATGCTTCTATACTGTTGTATTCTGAGCACCTCTGCAAAAACAGTGATAATGTGTGAGTGTGGTGAAAGTGTTGAATGATGATGAAAGTATTTTCATTTTGGGGATTTTCTTTCTTTTTTGGGTCACCCTGCCTCGGTGGGAGACGGCCGACTTGTTGAAAAAAAAAAAAAAAAAATATACAGAGATGGAAAATTTACCTGTTGTGAATTTATGGAAACTGAAAAATACAAGGCATGCTCTCAGAGAGTAGCTAACGATTTTATTAATTTTATGCTAATCAGTAAATGCTACTTATAAAGTGCCTGATGAATGGAAGGAAATCAAGATTGATCCACGGAAAAGGGGAGTTATCGTTTTTTTCCCAAAAATAAGTCTCGAAAATTTACCCAGCATCTTGGAGGCAGAAGTACCATTTATCTTTTTTTCCAAAATTTAACCAGTCAAAATGAAGGGGAAGGGGGGCTCCTCAACCTCAGAGTGTCTTGTTTGCCGTTAAATATGTTTGCTCAAATTCCTTCAAAATCATTCCTTGAAATGATTAATATAATGTAAACTTGGAACTATAAAATACTGACTAATCCTTGTATGAATATATCTACCAAGTGCAGTCATTTACCATTAACTTTTTCACATATAATATATAATAAACATACAATATTACTGTGTTTCTTCTTTTTCGGGTTACCCTACCTCGGTGGGAGATGGCCAGTGTGTTAAAAAAAAAAGTTATGTACTGTATTGTAATCTGGCTAATTCTACTTCAAGCCCAAGACATAATCAACATAAACAAAATTCATATAAAGCAAACTAACATTAAGTACTTGGTATCCAATAAACATCAAATTATACATAATACTTTCTCAACAATTTACAATGATTACTGTATAGTAAAATATAATAAACCCTCAATTAATGAGATATTATATTAACTCTATTGAGTAACTGCAGCCATAAAGTCATAGTGTTAAAATGTTCAATATTGTGCACCATAAAGCATAAAAGAATCAGCACTGGTGTAAATGTACTTGCAAGTTTGTGGGAGCCTGCACAGCAGAAGTTTTCCAACCCACACTGGGCACAGCACCATCCCTTCTCACACTGCCACCCATATTGCATTTTGGGATATTGGCAGTTTGGAGGGATATGTTGTGTATCTTTATACGTATATGCTTCTAAACTGTTGTATTCTGAGCACCTCTGCAAAAGCAGTGATAATGTGTGAGTGTGGTGAAAGTGTTGAATGATGATGAAAGTATTTTCTTTTTGGGGATTTTCTTTCTTTTTTGGGTCACCCTGCCTCGGTGGGAGA